GTGTGCTTGTGTGTGCACACAAGTTTGTTTGTTAAGTTCGGGACTCGCCTAGCTGTTTAGGCTGCGGGGTGTTCCTGGGGGCTTCAGGGGAGTAGGAATCTAGGCCCCTAGACCCTAAACCCTGGACCCTAAACCCTAAACCCTAAAGAGAACATGAGCCCTTCGACACTGAGACCCTGTAGATCCATAGGCCAGCTTCGTCAGATGCATGGCTCAGCAGAGCCATGCCATTGCCTACTATTTGCTTAAAAACCCCCAAAAAGCACAAAGAACAAAGATTCCCTAGGTTTCCCTTATAGGGAAAAATCTGTATAGCTTTTTAGGGGGGGGGGTTCTTAAGCAATTGGTAGTAGCATGCCAGAGACCGAAAGCAAAGAGGGGGACGGAGAGAAAGCGAGTCGGAGAGAGAAGGCGGCCGCTGAATATCTTGCGCACAAAACCCTAAACCCTAAACCCTAAACCCTAAACCCTAATGCAAGGGCAGGTGCGAGCTCCTCCGCCCTGACCCCAAAGCTCCGAACTCTGAATCCTGAACCGAGCCCATTTGTATCAAGCACAAAGGAGGTGGCCCCTACTCGGTGAGCCCAACAAAAGGAATCCCCTACACACAGGATTACCCTAAAACCAGAAAAAAAACGGCAGATGATTAAGGTGAACTTAAGAACCTGATGAGGCGAATCTCAGACCCAAAGCGCCCTGCGAGGTGGGCATTGGTCCCCCACACAGGGCCAGTTTGTTCGCATGCCCATGTCGCCGTCGCGCTAGAGGCGAGGGGTTCAGTGCTTGATCCTCTCCCCGCAAGATTGTAAGCTGCGCCCAACCCAAGCTTTCTGAAGGCAATAGCCTCTTGTATGTTGGAGGTTCTTTTTAGGGTTTAGGGTTTAGGGTTCAGGTCCTTGCTGGGTGGAAGAAGTGCAATCTTAAGGCGACTTTGGGATGTTGGGCATCAGGGTTCCGGTCTGCGTTTCAAGCAATTCCCTGCTGTCCTGAGATCTTGGGGATGCAAGGTGTTTTGGTTGGCTAGGAATCCGAATTGAGGTTCCACCCTAAACCCTAAACCCTAAACCCTAAACCCTAAACCCTAAACCCTAAACCCTAAACCCTAAACCCTAAACCCTAAACCCTAAACCCTAAACCCAAAACATGTCCTGAAGCACCTGACGGCTGTCTCCGAGTATGGTTCCTTTACTGCGGTATATATTGTCTTTTGGGGGGGGTACATTAGGGTCGCATTTTTGGGGAACGAGTCACATCTCCCTCCCGTATACACTCATGGCCTGGCAGACCCCAGACCTGAACTTCTCTAGGTCTCCAAAATGGGGCAGTAGGATTCCCCTATAATAAGGACCCCAATAGTAGGGTACCCGTAATTTCGGAAGCCCCCAAATTACCCACACAATTGGGGCATATGGGGTCAAGGGTTTTCATGATGAAACTTTGGGAGGGGGAGGAAAATGCAGCCGAACAGTCCTCAGCCCTAAACCCCAAACCCCTCCAAGCCCGACGCCCTAAACCCTATGCCCTAAACCCTAAACCCTAAACCCTAAACCCTAAACCCCTCGCGCAGGGCGGAGTTCGACAGGCCCAGCCTCCCTCAGAGGGAGGTCGGCGAACGTACGCTGCGTCGAAAGGAGGAGGGTCTGGACCCCCAGCCCTCAGCCCTAAACCCTACGCCCTAAACCCTAAACCCTAAACCCTAAACCCTACACCCTAAACCCTAAACCCTAAACCCTAAATCCCCCTCTAAATCCCTCTAAATCGACGATCCTCCCAGAGTTACCCAGGATGCAGAAATGCATCGTGTCACCGCAGAAAAAAGCTGCGACAGCTCTCGTCAGCTAGCTACAGCCTGCAAAGGCAGGTGGCTAATTCGCAAACAGGGCATCGTCTTTGAGACCAGAAGAGCCCTAAACCCTAAACCCTAAACCCTAAACCCTAAACCCTAAACCCTAAACCCTAAACCCTAAACCCTAAACCCTAAACCCCACAACCCTGAATGCCCAGATACCCTGTGGCTGTGCAACCTCACGCCTGCAGGGGCAGATAGATTCGACCCACAAAGCCGTGCTCTCAAAGCAGGGCTCGCGCGAGCAGCTCACAGGGGATGCTAGGGTTTAGGGTTTAGGGTTTAGGGTTTAGGGTTTAGGGTTTAGGGTTTAGGGTGTAGGGTTTAGGGTTCAGGGGTTTATGAAGGCAAGCGTTCTCTACTCCCGGTGTCAAGCTGATCGTTGGAAAGGGCCCCATTTGCGGGACCTCGCCTAAAGTAATTCAGTGGCGCATACCAAATGCCCCTGGTCACAGAGGGCGTTGTCGCCAGTTTTGCAGTAAGGCGTGGAGAAGCGGAAATACAGGTCAGCAATTAGCGAACACACCTTTTGAGGGGTTGAGCTTTGTGTCGCTTATGGCTTCGACAGGCATAAGAACGCAAGTCTCGAGATTCACACGTAATATTCAGAATATCCCTTGTCCTTTCCCGGCGCGATCCTGTATCCTGTAGGTCATCAGGTCGCTCCTTATGCGTAACCTACATTTTATGACAAAGGGGTACGCGCCTTACAGCGCATGCTTGAAGGTGTCGGGATGTAGGCCTACTCTTGTAGAGTGCTTTTAGCCTCTTGAAACCAAGATCGGAGGAAGTCAGAGCTCGAGCTCATAGCAGGGTTTAGGGTTTAGGGTTTAGGGTTTAGGGTTTAGGGTTTAGGGTTTCGGGTTTAGTAAGGCTTTGGTGTGGCCAAGGGTTTTTACAATCTGTTTTTTTGGTTCCTTCTACCGTTGAGAAAGGCTGAGCCTTGAAAGCCGTACGGACGAAACCCTACACCTGAAGCCCTGAACCCGAACCCTAAACCCAAAACCCTAAACCCTAAACCCTAAACCCATAGAGCCCCCTAAGACCGAAAAACCTCCCTGAACCCTAAACGACAACCTCCCAAGCGCTAGGGCCTTAGGAGAAGATCTTCATGGCCACGAGGGTTCAGGGTTTTGGATTTAGGGTTTAGGGTTTAGGGTTCTGTTGTTTTTTGGGGGGTGTCGGGTGCCATGGCCTCGGCAACGGCATTTTCGGAGGACAGGCTTGGAAGTTCAACCCAACTGCTGTAATGGTTGAGGGTTTCAAGGGTTTAAAGGGTTTTGAGGCTTCAAGCCGTTTAAAGGGTTACAAGGGTTGTCAGGGGTTTAAGGGCTCAAAGGGTTTAAAGGGTTTTAAGCGTTAAAGGGTTAAAGGGTTGAGGGTTTAAGGGTTTAAGGGTTTAAGGGTTTAAGGGCTTAAGGGTTTAAGGGTTTAAGGGTTTAAGGGTTTAAGGGTTTAAGGGTTCAAGGGTTTAAGGGTTTAAGGGTTTAAGGGTGTAAGGGTTTAAGGGTTTTAGGGGTTTAAGGGTTTTAGGGGTTCAAGGGTTTAAGGGTTTAAGGGTTTAGGGTTTAGGGTTGAGGGAGAATTCAGGGAGGGTGTAAAGGTTTTAGGATTGAGGAGGGCGGCTAGGTCTCGGAAGTGCAGCTCAGGATTTTGGGGGCACCAAGATGGAGTTGAGTTACTTTGTGGTACTTTACTGAACCCTAAACCCTAAACCCTAAACCCTAAACCCTAAACCCTAAACCCTAAACCCTGTAACTTTAGATCCTTACCTTTTTTGGGTTCATTGGGTTTCTTATTAAGGCAGCTAAAAGTTTTAATTTGTAGTAGCTACCCTCCTGAGTGCAGCCAAGAGTATTTGTTGAAGCATCTGATAGACGACGCGAACGGGTGTTGCCTGGCGAGACATCCGCGGCACCCACCTGAGCCGTACGCTTTTGGATAGGGGTGTTGCCCGCCCCAGCGCAGTAAACTCAACTGGAGGGAAGAGCTGTTTGGGGTTTTGGGTTAGGGTTTAGGGCTTAGGGTGTTTAGGGTTTAGGGTTCAGGGTTCAGGGTTTAGGGTTCAGGGTCCAGGGTTCAGGGCTTAGGGTTTTAGGGTTCAGGGTTTAGGGTTTAGGGTATTTGCAGACGCGCCTCTAAACCTGCAACCTCTATGGTCCAAGCAAAGGCCGGGACAGTCACATGCCAGGCATGCCCCCGTTTCACAAAGGAGGTGAACCAGAGCCTCAGAAAAAAGGGGGTTTAGGGTTTAGGGTTGAGGGTTGAGGGGGAGGAGAAAACCGAGTTCCCAAACTGTGGTCTAGGGCTCGTAGAAGGACCTTTGCGTTGAGGGTTTTCCGGTGACTGTTCTGCTTCAGGGCTCACGGGGCTTTATAGGGATTAGGGTTCAGGAATCTGGGGTTCAGGATTACGGGATCCGGGTGTTGCAAAGCTGTATGCTCGGAAGACTTTGGTCCAGGGTTTTGGGGCTTGGGGTTTAGGGTTTCAGATTTTCTTCGGGTTTCAGGTTCAGTTTTTCTGGTTTGCTTTTGAGCTTTCAGTTTAATTTGGGCTTAGGACTGGTACCAGGGTTTGTGATTTTGAGCTTCGTCCTTCGAAGCAGTTTCCACCACCCCAAGCCAGTTCTTTTGGGTTCTTTGAGGTTTCCGGGTGTGAAAGCCTGAAACTCTAAACCTTAAGCCCTAAAGAACTCTTTTGGGACCCGAAGCTTGTCATGAAACCTGTGTTCAGGCTCAGTCAGGGAAGCCTAGGTCTTTAGGGCTATTTGGGGTGGGGCTATTTAGGGATATTTTCGGGCCATAGGGTTTAGGGTTTAGGGTTAGGGTTGGGTTTAGGGTTTTGGGTTTAGGGTTAGGGGAGGTTCGGCCCTCAACTCTGTCACCTGAGCCCCTGCCCCCAAAAGTCCCTATCTTCACCCCTACGCGAACCCTGTGTCTCTCCAGCTCTCCAGCTCTCTCGCTCGTTCTCTCTCTCTCTCTCTCTCTCTCTCTCTCTCTCTCTCTCTAGAGGTATATCCACACGTACGTACATACATGCCCTGCATTCCTTAAAACAACATATACATATATATATATATATATATCATCCCACTGTATTCCAATACATTCTAGATATACATCCACACCCGAAAAAAATCGGCTGTCGTTCCGAGGCCGCTACTCCGGCCGTCTCTCCACCGGCCGTCTAAGCGAGGCCGCTTCGGGGATGTCGGAGTTTCATGGGGTTTGCGGTGAAGGGTTTAGGGTTTAGGGTTTGGGGTTTAGGGTTCAGGGTTTAGGGTTTAGGGTTTAGGGTTCAGGGTTCAGGGTTCAGGGTTCAGGGCTTAGAGGGGCGTTTAGGGCTTGGGGTTTGGGGCTCGGGGTGTTCGGCCTGGAAAAAACTCAGGTCTGTTAGTGGGCACTTCGAGCCCCAATTATAAGTCTTTGGGTTTCAGGGTTTAGGGTTTAGGGTTTAGGGTTAGATTCCTTTCACAAGAGCCCAATGAAACCAACGAAAAGCAAGAACCTTTGTCTCGTAAGTTACTTGAGGAACCCTCTACCCCATAGCCTAAACACGCAAACAGTTTTCATGAAATGATTTTGCATTAGTCCGAACACCGTATTTAGAATTTCTTTCCATATTAGCTCAAGACTAAACGTTGATCGTGTTGTTTGTGCTGCTGTAAGTATAAACCATATGTGGGATTATCTGGAAATACGGCTTGTACCATACCCTAAACCCTAAACCCTAAACCCTAAACCCTAAACCCCCTCACCAGCAGACCTTGAGGGCGCAGGGTCAAGCCCTTTACCCAAAGCTCTTCAGAGGTGAGAGAGCTCCTAAACCCTAAACCCTAAACCCTAAACCCTAAACCCTAAACCCTAAACCCTAAACCCTAAACCCTATGGGGTTTACAGGCTTGAAGGGGGTTTCCTATCAAACCTAAAAACTGCCCCCGAGCCGAATCACTGGAGGTTTGGAACAACGACCAGACCTTTGAGGATGTGCTGCGGCAGGCCTACGAGGGCTTAGGGTTTAGGGTTTAGGGTTTAGGGTGTTTCGGGAAGTTTAGGGTTCGGGGTTTCGGGCTGTTTTGGCCTAGGGCTTGGGAACGGTGGTGCATTTGTTTGATCGAATTTGGGTTTTTGGGCTTACTCCTTCTTTCTCTGGGCAGGTGTCAGGCTTCAGAGATTTGGGTTCAGGGTTTTGACGGCTATAGTTCTGTGAGGGTACTTTTGAGAACCTCCGATGATGCCCTTTCTTTCGGGGTTAGATGTTCTTGTATACGCCTCAATAGCAACAATAGGGGACCTAATAGTAGTTCGTGCCTGCGAGCGTGTGCACGCAAAATTGTGCGAAAGTTGTTGGAGCGTGCCGATGAAGGGAGTGAGTGAGTGAGTGAGTGAGTGAGTGAGTGAGGTGGCCAAGGCACTGGCAGCTGGAGACAAGTGCCTGGTCGAACACACTTCGACACGCCCGGTTAGATGGCCAAAAGGTGGCCCAACTCCGTACTGAGCGTCAGATCCTTAACCCGGCTTAGGGCTTAGAGGAGAAGAATCTGAACCGTATTACTAGGCTAGCACAGCACCTTGATTGAGGACTCGTCTTTTTGATAAGAAGTTGGGATAAACAAACCTTTCGGGAACATCTTTCAGCCCAGGAGCCTAAACACCCCGCACAAAACCCTAAGGCCTAGAAGGCCTGTAATTCTGAGGCCTCCCTAAACCCCTACCCCCAGACACTCTTACACCGAGCATTTCTAGATCCTTGACTCTGCAGCGCTCTGGCTCAGTCCATGAGTTTTTTGATTGTGTAGGGTTTGGGGTTTAGAGTTTAGGACGGCGTGTGGGGGCTTGAAATCCCACAGCCTTCCTTCCTGCCTGTCCTGTTGCTGCGCCTGATGAGGTGACCGCGGTGGAAGATCCAGACGAGGAGGGAAGGCCTGGGGCGTTTTAGGGACTTGGCTTAGACTCACAGTCCTTGATAGGGAGATAATGGGGGAGCACTATACTCCCTTTCTAAGGACTGTTAGTATAATAGGGACATCCCAAGGCTCTTGGTGTTAGGACTGTTAGGACTTCTGGGGGGTTTAGGAGGTGGGATGAACGTTTCTCGCGTTCCGGGATTCGAGGTTCAGGGGTACGGCTCAGGGGTTTAGGCTCAGGCTGCTTTTTTTTTTTTTTTGGGGGGGGGGGGGGGTGCTTGAGGGGTTTGAGGAGTTAGTACTCTTATGTTCTCGGGGTAACTACTGGTTAGGGGGTGGTGGTAGCGAGGCTTAGGTTTAGGGCTTAGGTGCTTGGAAGGGCGCTAGAAAGGCGATCCCTAAACCCTAAAGCCTAAACCCTAAACCCTAAGCCCCAAACCCTAAACCCCAAACCCCAAACCCTAAACCCTAAACCCTAAACCCTAAACCCTAAACCCTACACCCTACACCCTAAACCCCAAACCCCAAGCCTTGGCGGCGGCGCGGCCCGCCCCTAAACCAATTGTGCATGCCTAAGCCCTTATGCCCTTAAACCTCCAAACCCCAAAACCTTAAACCCCTGAGCCCTTAAACTCTAAACCCCTCAACCCTTAAAACCTTGAACCCCAAAACCTTAAGCCCTTAAAGTCTAAACCCCTAAGCCTAAACCCTTAAAACCTTTCCCTTGAACCCTTAAGTTAAGTCCCAAAACCCTCTCCTGCACCCTTAAACGTCACCCCTTAAACTTTTAAACCCTCAACTGTGCCGATCAAGTGATTTGACCCGTCCTCCCTGTTTGAGGGGGCCTTCCCATGCAAAACCCTTGGCCCTGAACGTAAAAACTCTACAATTCCTCAAAAAAGCCCTAAAAACCGAAAAATAACCTTCAAAAAACCTGAAAGCCCCACTTCGTTCTTTACTTCGATTTGCGCTACAGTGTAGGGCATGAGGGCCAAGTGCGCAGGTTTAGGGTTTAGGGTTTAGGGTTTAGGGTTTAGGGTTTAGGGTTTAGGGTTTAGGGCTTAGGGTTTAGGGTTTAGGGTTTAGGGTTTAGGGTTTAGGGTTTAGTGTTTAGGGAACAGAGTTCAACCATTGGGCGGAGCGCTGGCCATGGCCCAGAGCTCAGCGCGCCGTCGCAAGCCTTGCATGTTTGTAGCAAAGATTCGCTGCGCAAAAGTCCAGGGCTGTTTTAACCCTAAACCCTAAACCCTAACCCCTAAACCCTAAACCCTAAACCCTAAACCCTAAACTAGTTTTGAGTGCAGGGTTACAAAGGTTCAAGGCCGCTTCAGAGGAGTTAGGATTGTTTATGGCTTCGCGCCCAGGGTGTTTTCAAGGTTTGGTGAGTGTGGCGCGGTGTTCTAGGAACTCGCAACCCCAGACTCTGGCAGGGTGCTTTGGCACCAGGCATGGTTGGGCCACAAAAACCCATGGCCTGTGAATCGGCGAGGCTCAATGCAGTCAAGGGACGAAACCGTGCACTCAGAAACATTGCCCAAAATGTCTGCCAGGGTTTAGGATTGACTTCTGTGAAGCTTAGATCCCTGGATGGGTGAGTTTCTAGATGTCAAAGCGCAAAACACTAACCCCGAGACCCTCAACCCAAATCCCCAACTTCTCTCAACTCCTGGAGCCCCCCCCCCCCCCCCCCCCAAACCTGAGGCGTAGAGCTTAGGGTCCAGGAAGTTTCCATCCCTTAAAAGGGTACCATTTAGGGCCCTATATATACTTCCTCAAAGGGCATCTTTAGGGTTTAGGGTTTAGGGTTTAGGGTTTAGGGTTTAGGGTTTAGGGTTTAGGGTTTAGGGTTTAGGGCTTCCTTTTTAGGGGGGCCTCTTAAAGATGTCGCTCCGTGGGTTCCGGCCTGCTGTGGCCCTGGCCTTCCTCTGCGTGGCCCTGAAGCTCGGGGTGCTGGTTTAGGGTTTAGGGTTTAGGGTTTAGGGTTTAGGGTTTAGGGTTTAGGGTTTAGGGTTTAGGGTTTAGGGTTTAGGGTTTAGGGTTTAGGGTTTAGGGTTTAGGGTTTAGGGTTTAGGTGTTAGGGTTTAGGGTTTAGGGTTTAGGGGCCGTTAACCTTTTACAAGCTCTTTTTTTGGCGATATTCTACTCCTACTACCCCCAAAAAGAGGGTATATTATATATATATATATATATATATACCTATTACCCCCAAAAGAAAAGCCTATACATATACTCCGACTGCCTCAAAAAAGGGAAGCTAACCTCTTTTTGGGGGGCTTAGGGTATTTCAGCCCCTAAGGAAGGCCCTGGCCTTCGCCTTCCGGCCCTCTCTGCGAGATGTCGGAGTGCCTTGGGCCGCGCAAAAAGGGGGGGGGGGGGGGGGCGGGGGAGCCTTAAACCTCCAGCACCCTAAACCCTAAACCCTAAACCCTAAACCCTGAATCCTAAACCCTAAGCCCTAAACCCTAAACCCTAAACCCTAAACCCTTTTGGGTTTCAGATTTCGGACGCGGGGTTCCCCCGGACCTCACCACTGCTTTTCCTGGCCCTATGGGGCTTACGGGGTTTGTTCAGGGCCTAAACCCTAAACCCAAAACCCAACACCCTAAACCCTCAAGATTTTCTACGATTTTTGTTCACGGGCTTTAGGGGCTTGAAGGGCCTCCAAGGTTTCTAACCGGTTGTAGGGTTTAGGGTTTAGGGTTTAGGGTTTAGGGTTTAGGGTTTACGGGCGTTCAGGGCTTTAAGGGTTTCAAGTGTTTTTAATTCCCTTTTTGTTGGGGCTTCTTGGGGTCTTTAGGGGCTTATGGGGTGCCGGAAGAAGAGGACACTTAGCCTCGTGGGCTTACGGGGTGTCTCGGCCTAGGCTTTAGTTGCTGTCATCCCTGGGGAAGTGTTTGCGGTTTCGGGTTTAGGGCTTAGGGCTTTGAATCCTAAACCCGAAACCCCTTTGTAGAGACTAAACCCCAAACCCTAAACCCTAAACCCTAAACCCTAAACCTGGGATGGAGAGTTTTTAGTGTTTTTAGGGTTTTTAGGGTTTTTAGGGTTACCTAAGCCTAGAGCCTGAAGTTACAACTCCTAGAACCCCTCTTCGCTGAACACCCTAAACCCTAAACCCTAAACCCTAAACCCTAAACCCTAAACCCTAAACCCTAAACCCTAAACCCTAAACCCTAAACCCTAAACCCAGAACCGGCAGCACCTCATGATCCACATCACCGACCCACAGCTTGGGATGCTGAACCAGCGGCTCAGACAGTTTAGGATTCCGGGTTTAGGGTTTAGGGTTTAGGGTCTAGGGGCTAGGGTTTAGGGTTTAGGGTTTAGAGGTTAAGGGTCGGGGTTTAAGGCCGTTTGGGGTTTAGGGTTTAGGGTTTACAAGTAATTAAAGTCTTCAAGACTTACTTTCCAGGCTTTCCTACGATCATAGATGCCCCTCACTCCTTAAACCGTGCGAAAGCGGCCTAGAATCTCTAAGGATCCCTACACACGCTAGATGCCCCAAAACTCTGAAACAAAAATTGACCAGAAACCAGGCATGACCCTGGGAAGACAGACTGTGTTCTGTTGGGGGCTTAGGGTTCAAGCGCTCCAAGCGACCGTATGAAGATGGGTGTACAGGTAATATCGGGGCCTGAATAATTCGAATAGGGTTTGGGGAGGTTATTATGGCATAATTACCAAGGGATCCGAAGGAAAGATTATCCATAATTATTCCGGTCCGTCTATTGCTCTGGTTCAGGGGACCTCAAACCGGTGTTCTAGTTTGTTGTTCGGCATTGCCTAGGGCAACAAAAGGGCCCTTGGGGGCTTGTACCGTAGGACTGTTTGAGCGTATTCCTTAGCATACGAAGTGCGTATGAAGTGCGTTTCACGGTAGTTTGCAGTGCTGCATGTTCTGCAGGGGTGGGAGTCCGAAAAGATTGAGGATGACCGCTTTCGCACCCTCCCCACAAAACTGCAGTCCTCACATGCTATCGAAGCCCTATGGGTGTTCCCCTACGTTTTGCAAGCCCTCTCCCTCCCAAGTTCTATAAGGTACAGCGCCGATCCTGAGAATTGGATGGACGAGAACTCCATGCTGTCCGGACTTGCATCGAAAGCCGCCCAAATGAATCCGAGCTTGGTGTTCGTCGGGGGGGACATGCAAAATTGGTGGCCGAATGAGAACAGCGCCGAGAGCAGCAGAAACCGACCCAAAGGCATGTCGGATGAGGACTTTGCAGTGCTGTGTTCCAAGGAATTAGGCCGGCGCCAGCGAACGGATGTCCGGCAGTCGCTTCAAGTACTGGAACGTGCTGGAATCCCTGTGTGCTACACGCCCGGTAATCACGACATTGGTGACCACCCAGATGTTCAGACCCTGGATCAATACGCGCACCCTGGTGGTGACAATCCTGGCTGGGGGCCGTTGTTCCAGCGTGTGAAGGAGAAGGGTGGCATCCTCTATCTACAGTTTAACTCCCAAGTGTATTGGAGCACCAACGGCATTTTGGACCAGTATCGGGAGAAGCAACTGGAGTTTCTCCAAAATGAGATGAGCAAGATCCACGACAACATCAGACGCCTAGTTCTTCTCACGCACATTCCCCCCTTCATGGAGTCTGTTGATGAGACTTGGTAGCCCACTGGTACCCTTTACCCCTTTTTTTGGTTCTGGGTGCCCTCATCAAGTAACCAACCCCTTATCATAAGATGGGCACCTGGCTTCTAGCCCTAAACCCTAAACCCTAAACCCTAAACCCTAAACCCTAAACCCCAAACCCTTTTTTTGACATGTCAAACATGGCTGAGCCATCCCTTGCTACTTCATCCTCTACGGACATTCTGGAACTTGTTGCAAGCGGCGAAACCCTGAAATTTGAACCCTAAACCCGTATTACAAGATGGTTGCTAAACCCTAAACCCTAAACCCTGAACCCTGAACCCTAAACCCGTATTACAAGATGGTTGCTGGGCTACGGAGGAGAAGGAGGGCTGGGCAAACTGGAAGCAGACCTACCGCAGGCAGATTTTAGACTTGCTGGCTACACCGAATATACCGATGTTGTGGCTTGGAATCTGCAGTTTTGGGTTTAGGGTTTAGGGGTTTGGGGTTTGGGGTTTGGGGTTTGGGTTTGGGGTTTGGGGTTTGGGGTTTGGGGTTTGGGGTTTGGGGTTTAGGGTTGTTCATGTGTTGGGTGTGTTACACCAGAGGTCTTACGTTTCAACAGTGCAGGAAGGAACCAAGGAATACGGAACATGTTTTGGTTAGTAGCCTCAGCAAATCGACTTGAAGCAGCCTTAGAAGCAATCAAAGCGGCTGATCTCAAGCTAGCTTCCTACACTCCAAGACCAAACCCTGAACCTCATACCTGCACCCCAACCTCTTTTCTGGCTGCCATCCCAGCTACAACTCGACACCCGCCCGATTGCATGGTTGACCGAGGTGGGTGTGCGGCCACTTCCATGCCAACGTCGAAAACGATTTGACCTACAAGGCCAACTCTTGGGGTTTAGGGTTTAGGGTTTAGGGTTTAGGGTTTAGGGTTTAGGGTTTAGGGTTTAGGGTTTAGGGTTTAGGGTTTAGGGTTTAGGGTTTAGGGTCGAGTTGGTGGTGAAAGGTTTGAAGGGGTTAAGGTTCTACTCGTAGGTTCCTTTGATGCCCTAATTCCCTATTCAGATCCGGTTTGGCGCTTATGATTTTTCCACCCCCAACCCCTGTGCTTGCCCCAAAGCCACCGGTCAGGGCGTGCCGCTAAGCATCCGCGTCTCGAGCGCGGCAGGGACGACCATGCAATGGGATGGAAAGGATGAGTCTCTGCCTCAAGCTGCTTTAAAGGTTTAGGGTTAGGGTGTAGGGTTTAGGGTTCCGGCATTTTAAACGGAACAACCCGCCATGGCTGAACTTCTGGCAGGCGACTAACATCGCTTGAAAGGAAGAGGCCTACTGTAGGCACATCCGTGTGTGTATTGAAAGTCCTCGACTCCTTAAATCAACCCCCTAAAGCCCCGAAAACCGCAAAACACCAAGCCATGGGCTTTTCTGAACCCCTAGCCATCTCTCTCCACCTACTCCTAGGTAGGATAAGCGGGAACCTCAAAAGGGAACCCTTCTTAACCCTTCTCTGACTCTCTGAAACAGGGACCTTATTCAGAGGGTCTAGACCCCCCAAGGGCCCCAAGGGCCCCAAGGGCCCCCCTAATCCTATCCCCTACCAAAGCTGACAAGGACTTGACACCAGCGGAAGCCATGACAGTTGCTTCCAAAGACATTGCCAATGCGTTCGCCCAGGACAGGGTCCCTCCAAGTACTGCATACCCCCCAACCCCCCCGCCCCCCCCCCAATCAAGGGCCTGAAGGCGACCTGGAATCCCCAAATCCCAACGCCTAAGCCCTAAAATCAGCCCTGTGTGTAAGCCCTAAGACCCTGCCTCAAGACCAAGTAAATAGAAGTTGTATGTGGTATCATTCTGAATGTCCAAGTTATTTGTCTAAGCAGCTGACAAGCTGACAAGCCGAGTTTAAGTCTGAGGCCAAATACTCAACTTACTTAGACCTCCCCTCTTCCCCCTCTCCCCCTCCCCCTCCCCCCCTCCCCTCCCCCCCCCCCCCCCCCCCCCCCGTGTTATCATTCTGAATTTCCAAGTTGTTTGTCTAAACAGCTGACAAGCCGAGTTTCAGTCTGAGGCCAAATACTCAATTTACTTCAAGCTCTGGCCCCGCCCACCCCCCTCCCTCCCCCTCTCCCCCTCCCCCCCTCCCCCCTCCACCCCCTCCCCAATCCCCTCAAAAATGAAAAATAGTTCCAAAATATTAAATTTTGCGTTCAAAACTTTCGTTCAAAACGTTATTGGGACCCAAACCCTATACAATTTCTAGAAGCCCTAAATCTAAACCCCTTGTATACAAACCCCCTTCACGCCTGCAGGACATCGGCTTCGCCAACATTCCACGACGACTCCGGGCCCAAGCGAATCGCGCCGGTCTTCGGGTCTTTAAATTTCATGAAGGCCGGGGCCCAAAAGGGATTTAGGACTTCATGGTTTAAGTAAAACCCTAAACCCTAAACCCTAAACCCTAAACCCTAAACCCTAAACCCTAAACCCTAAACCCTAAACCCTAAACCCTAAACCCTAAACCCTAAACCCTAAACCCCAAGCCCAAAGCCCAAAGCCCAAAGCCCAAAGCCCAAGGTCCCTGTTAGGGGCCCCCTACTCGTGCTTTTTCTTTTTATGGGGCCCGTAGTCGGTCTAGGCGAAGCTTCTGTTTAGGGTTTAGGGTGCAGGGTTTAGGAATTAGGGTTTTTGGCATTTTCTGTCGTCCGGCTTCCGTGCGCGGTTGCACCTTCAAACCCTTTGCCCCTGAATCGAAGATCGAAACCCCTAAATACTTTGTCGTAGTGGGGTTACATTTTTGCACTTTTAGGGGGGTACTTACATTCAATAAGGAATAGAAATTGAATTGTTCATACTATCCCCCTAAACCCTAAACCCTAAACCCTAAACCCTAAACCCTAAACCCCCAACCATGAGCTGGTAAAGCCCTTGTGGGACCCTCAGATGAAGGCGATGGCTCCTTTGAGGACCAGTGGTACACGCTGGAGCAGCTCCAGCAAGAGCCACCAGAAATGTGACGGGGGAACCCAAGACTCTGAGAAACTTACGGGTTTAGGGTTTAGGGTTTAGGGTTGCAGCTACAGGGGGCTGATGGGGCTTATGGGGCTTCTAGAACCCTACCCTAAACCCGAAACCCAATTCGGCAATGCAAATCGGCGCTCGCTGAAAAGGCTGCCATGGAAGGAGGTCATGTGACAGTCACTGGGGTTTGTCCACGAGGTTCCCAGTTCAACCTTGAATCACCCCTGAACCGTTAATCAGCACCCTAAACCCTCAGCATCCTCAACCCTTAAAGCCTCAACCCTACACCCTTGCAACCCTAAACCCCTCAACCCCGAAACCCCTAAACCCCTCAACTTGCTTTGAACCTCCCCGGTGTGGTTCAGAGCGGCTCAGCCTCCCTCAACCCAGCACATCAAACTAGCACGGCTCCGAAGGTTTCCCCCAACGGTTTGGGGTTTAGGGTTTAGGGTTTGGGGTTTAGGGTTTAGGGTTTGGGGTTTAGGGTTGAGGGTTTGGGGTTTAGGTTTCTTTTGCTTCTTTAGGGTGTTTAGGGTTTAAGGTGTTTGCCTCGACGGAAAGAATCAACCCATCCTTCGACACCAAGGAGCTGTGACTCAGCTATAAACTCAGCAAAAGGACCCGTTTGTAAGGTGCACTACCTGTTCGACCCTCAGCACCAAATCTCGTGCTGCTGCGACAACAAAGGCTACAACCCTAAACCCTGATCACAAAACACAAAAACCCTAAACCCCAAGCCCCAAACGGCTTCTTCTCGGCTAGGGATGAGGGCTTAGGCCACGGGTACCTCATAGCCTTTGGCCTCTTATTTTGTTTTGAATATGTTTGTATTTTGTTTTTTGGTGGGGGGGGGGGGTCTGAGACGCCCTTTTGGCGGGGGGGGGGGAGGAGCGACCGTTTGATGGTAAGGTTCAAGCCTGCAAAGTTTAGGGTTCAGGGCTTAGGCCACCGACTTTGGGATTTGCCGAAGGAACCCCCAACATGTACACAAGTGCCACTAACATCCAGTTGCAATTCTATAGGGTTCCTTACACAAGCCCAGTTTTGCATTAAACCAGACCTGCTCCAGAAAATCCTCCAGACGCGCCAGGTGGCGTCCCTGCTCTTCGCGACGTTCGCAGTGCAGTGAAGATCATGGGCTTCAGGGGCGTTTGGGGGCCAGGGAATTCCAACTTGAGTAAGATATAGGGGCAAGCTAGTGCAAGCCTCCACTCTGCCCCGGTGCTTGCATGGGGAGAGAGGCAAAACGAGACGAGAGGGAACAGATGTACACCCCGCACCGCTGCGCATCATGATTGTTATTCTTCTGTTCCTTAGTACTGCTACGATGATGCTCATGAATACGATATCTAGGATACCCGGTAGTTTGTTTTTTTTTGGGGGTGGCTGGGGGGTGGGTTAAGGTTCCCTTGTAAGCCCCATTTAAGCAAAAGAGGGCCCTTTCATGGGTTACTGGGCAACCTAGAAAGGTTTAGGGTTTAGGGTTTAGCCCCCTAAACCCCGAACCGTAAACCCTAAACCCTAAATATGATCAAACTTTGCACATGAGCCGCCCCTGAGTGGAACACTTTGTGCAGGCCCCCGGTGGGTGCCGGCATCTCAGCTCCTCCCTCCTTAGTTTTGGTGCTTCCACATTCAACCAAGAACAAACCCTAAACACTAAACCCTACACCCTAAACCCTAAACCCTAAACCCTAAACCCCAAACCCTAAACCCTAAACCCTAAACCCTAAACCCTAAACCCTAGCTGCGATACTCAAAGAACTTCGAAGCTCTGAATCCTCCACTCGGCCCCTCCGATCCGACTTCACAGGGTCTTTAGAGGTTTGGGTTTATAGGGTTTAGGGTGTTTAGAACCTAGGGTTTTTAGGGTTTAGGGTTTAGGGCTTAGGGCTGCTGAGGTTTACTCGAGATGTAACTATGATAGCGAGGTTGTGGCGTAAACGTTGAAGCGTTCGGGCGTTCATAATTTCAGGCTCGAAGGTGTGGATGCAGGTTTAGGGTTTAGGGTTTAGGGTTTGGGGTTTAGGGTTTAGGGTTTAGGGAAGGTTCGCAGGCTCGGGCACGCGGAGTCGGCCTTTTGGGTACAGCATTGTTTGGCTTAGGTCTCCCTCTATCCCTTCAAGTAATCTTGTCTCCATCTTTCATCTCTCTTTGTCTCTTCGTCCCTCGCTCTCTCTCTCTCTCTCCCTAAACCCTAAACCCTAAACCCTTTACCCTAAACCCTGTACCCTAAACCCTGTACCCTAAACCCTTTACCCTAAACCCTTTACCCTAAACCCTAAACCCTGAACCCTGAACCCTGAACCTTGAACCCTGAACCCTATCTTCGCTTTGCGGACTCTGGGGGCAAGCGCTTCTTCCGTCTGAGGCGGGCGGCTGGCTGCGTTGCTCCTGGTTCTCCAGGCGGTTTTGTTTAGGGTTTTAGGGTTTCAACTCGAGTTTAGGGTTTAGGGTTTGGGGTTTAGGGTTTAGGGTTTAGGGTTTAGGGTTTAGGGTTTAGGAGTAAGAGTTCGGGGAAGAGTTAGGGGTCTGGGGACGTTTGGGGTTCAGGGTTTACAGGCTTTAGGGCTCAGGGGTTCAGAGGTTGGTTTCGGAGCTTCTCGCAGCCAGAGGAAGCACCGTCCATTGCAAGGATGGTCCCTTCCTTTCTTTCCATGCCCGGCGCCGTCACAAGGGCCCTACAAACCCTTAAGCCCTAAACCCTAAACCTTAAACCCTAAACCCTACACCCTAAACCCTAAACCCTCAGACCACCGGGACGTCAGGGTGTTTTGACAGTTAGGGCCTAGGGCTCCAGGTGTTTCAGTGTCTTCGGCATTGGGTCCCCCTGGTTCTTAGTAGGGCATGAGGGAATTAGGGCCCAGGGGGGTTTTATAGGGTACCTCATTCCCTCATTCCCTACGAAGAATCAGCCGGCGTTTCAAGTTTGCAGCCTCAAGCTTTGGGGTCTCTTTATGACATGGGGCCAACCTGAACTCCTGTCGCTCGCAAGGCTCAAACGATGCTGGCGCCGGCAGCCCAGCACTCCCCCCAAGGGGGAGAGAAGAAACCCAAAACCCCGAAACCCTCGCAGCCCTAAGGCCCTGAAGTGAAAACCCTGAAGATCTAGGCCCCTAAACCTTAAAATCCTGCCTGAACCCGAAAACCCCCGACAACCAGGCCCCTGAAACCCAGAATCAAACCCTGAACCCTCCAACCCCTCAAGCCGAAAGCCCCAAAACGCCCGAAGCACATGCCCCAGGCCTTAGCATGGTGGACTGCTTGGGGCGTTTGGGGTTTGGGGTCTAGGGTTAGGGTTTAGGGTTTAGGGCTCAGGGTTCAGGGTTTAGGGTTTAGGGTTTAGGGTTTGAAGGCTCTGCCAGACAAGCACGTGGCAGGGTCGGAAAGCTCCCGGAAAGCAGCAGAGCGAATTTGCTGTACACCAACGCCCCGGAGACCTAAGCCTCACCCCTAAACCCTAAACCCTAGACCTCAAACCTTTCAGCTCCTTCCTGCAAACCCTGCTTCCTAAAGCTCGAAACCCTAAGACCACCAAAGCCCTAAACTTCTCCAAACTTCAGGGCCCGAAGCCCTTCACTCCCTAACCCTACTGAGCACCTGCCATAGGGCTGTTAAAGTTTCTTTAGATTTTTGGGTTTGGGGGTTCTAGTGATCAAGAGTTGCGGAGTTTAGCGTTCTAGGGCTTTAGGGTCCTTTAATATCAGGTCCAGGGCACGAGGGCACTGAGGTTCCTACGGGATAGGTTTCATCAGAGTGCTAGGCTGCCAAAACCCTAAACCCCAAACCCTAAACCCGAAGCCTGAAACCCTAAACCCTAAACCCCAAACCCTAAACCCTAAACCCCAAACCCTAAACCCTAAACCCCAAGCCCTAAACACCCCTAAAGGCCCGGATGCGTTTCCTGGCGAGCTGGAGCACGATTTCCAGCAGTGGCCGGGGAGCCCATCCTCCACTGTTCCGAAAGGAGGATGGGTGTTTAGGGTTTGGGGTTCAAGGTTTGGGGTTTAGGGTTTACGGTTTGGGGTTTAGGGCTTAGGGTTTGGGTTTAGGGTTTAGGGTTTGGGGTGTAAGGTTTGGGGTTTAGGTTTCGGGCTTAGGGTTTTGTAGGGTTCTGGGGCATATTGGGGGGGGGGGGGGGGGGGGGGGGATTCGTACAGCTATTTCAAACTTAACTGGGCTTGCGCAGGTTAGCACCGACAGTTCCGAACCGGCCACATCTGCAGAGCTCAGCTTGTTTTGTTTTTAGCAGCTTTGCTTCAGGCTATGCAGAGACCCGTGGCCGAGAAAACTTGAACCCTGTAACCCTATAGACCTAGTTGAAGAGGGCAGAGCCTCATGGGTCTTACTCTTAGGGTGTAGGGTTTGGGTTTAGGGTTTAGGGTTTAGGGTTTAGGGTTTAGGGTTTAGGGTTTAGGGTTTTAAGGTTCGGTTCCAGGTCTACTCTGAACCCTGAAGCACAGGTTCCACGAGTTTAGCATCTGCAAGAAGATGGACGTTCGCCTGGATCGCCAGGCATCTTGGCCTCCAGGGGAGATGTGTTTAAGGTTTCGGGCTTCGGGTTTAGGGTTTAGGGTTTAGGGTTTAGGGTTTAGGGTTTAGGGTTTAGGGTTTAGGGTTTAGGGTTTAGGGTTTAGGGTGTTTTAGGCGTGAGGATTTGGCCGTCCAGGCCCTTGCGGTTTAAGGTCTAAGTCTAGGGGTGTTTTTTTGGAGGGGTTCTGATTTAAGATTGGGGGGTCTCCCAAAGAAGCCCCTAAACTTTGGACCTAAACCCCAAACCCTAAGCCCTAAACCCCATTCCGCAGGCTCTCTTCATGTCCATCCTTACCACGGGTGACATGTTCTATACGGCCGGGCGCTCAAGCGAGAAGAGCTCCTCTCCGGGACTGTCAGGTTCAGGTGTGACCGAAGCTCTTGGCCCTGAACCCCAAAATCCTCCAGGCTCGCAACCCCGGAACAATAATGCAATGATGAACACTAATAACACTAAAACTACAAAACCCTGAACCTCATCTCCAAAAAAGGCTCTGCAACCCTGGGTTTTCGCACGCCCGGATGAGACATAAGCCGACATATGCCCTATAAACCCCAAACCCAAACCCTAAACCCTAACCCCAAACCCAAACCCTAAACCCTAAACACCCTTAATTGAGGTCTTCTTCACTGGCGCCTTCAAGTCCTACATCGGCCCGGTTCCGCAGTCGGACATGCCGGGGGCTTGGGCCACAGCGGGGCCTTGGGGTGGTTGCTTAGGGCTTAGGGCTTAGGGTTTAGGGTTTAGGGTTTTAGGGTTTTAGGGTTTTAGGGTTTTTGGGTTTTTGGGTTTTGGGTTTTTGGGTTTTTGGGTTTTTGGGTTTTTGGGTTTTTGGGTTTTTGGGTTTTTGGGTTTTTGGGTTTTTGGGTTTTGGGGGGGTTTTTGGGTTTTTGGGTTTTTGGGTTTTTGGTTTTTTTTTTTGGGTTTTTGGGTTTTTGGGTTTTTGGGTTTTTGGGTTTTTGGGTTTTAGGGTTTTAGGGTTTTAGGGTTCTCCACTTGAAAATCACGCTCCAGGTATTCACCGAGGCTGCGACTTCCCGTGGGGAGCTAAGGAGCAGCTTTTCGAGATCGGGAGGTTTAGAGTTTTGGGGTTTACCTTAAGAAGCCAAAGCCTGTATTTTGTAGGTTACCCAAGAATCCTATAAGGGATGTCACGATAGGAACCTACAGAAAGGTAGGTTTCGGGTTCTCGAGGTAGGGTTTACTTTAGGGGTTGGGACTTTGGGGGTTTCGGTTTCATTGCTTCTAGCAGTGTCGTTCTTTTTGGAGGGGGATGGTGGGGTGATTAGTATCATTGGCCTTCTGTGGGACCCGATTGCTGCAGTTCCCTTGTATAATATCGCTCGGCCTTCTACCCTTGAAGCCGCCCTAAGCACCTAAAACCTCAGGAGCCCTCAACCTGAAAACTCTCGACCCTAAGCCCTGAAACCCGAACCCCTTGACGTCTTGAGTGGATGTTAACTTTGTGTCCCGAAACCATCCGAAACCCTACTCGCGAACCCATCAACCTGAAACACCCTAGACCACTCTGGCTTCCTCAAGTCTAGCTCGGCAGAGCTATCCTTTCTCAGCAAATTTTGGCGCAGTCTGCCAAGAGGCGCACCTAGATTTTCCCGCCACCCTTCGCAAGCGGAATGAAGCGATTCTGGGCCGACGCGTGGCAGTGGGATCGCGCTTTGTGGATACAACCATGTGGAGCTAAAGTTTCGAACCTCCAGCCCTGAACCCGAAGTAGGGCCAGTGCGCCCAAAAGCCCAAGTCCCCAAGGCATCCCACATCCCCCGCAAATATCCTTGTCGAGGTCTTCGTGTGCAGCCGCATGGCGATCCTCTGCATCATACTTGCCTGGCGCCAGGTGCCCAGATCTGGCCCCTGGTTCCTGAATGCTGGGGTCTATATGGGGGCTTTACGAAATTAGGGGTATCTATCTTCATAGGGTCCTCATTAGTAAGGGAATCCTACTATGTGGGGGTTTATACTAGGGTCCCTTGTTTTCGTAGCCCCCCATACAGGGATCATACTCCAAGTCATCAGACTTAAGCAGCTAAGAGCAGACCTTGGTTGTGTCTTCTTCGCGGTCGCCGCAGTATCAGGTTTGTGGTTTAGGGCTTCCGGGTTTAGATTCTCGTGCTTAGGGGCCCTAGGCTCAGGGACGGCTCCACCCTAAATCAAGCCCTAAAACCCCAGGGGAAGGATGCTATAAACCAAACCTCCCTGGAAACCCTATGAACCCTACACACCCTATAAACCCGGAACCCGAAATCCGGAAGCCGCCACCCTAAACCCGAACCTCAAACCCTACACCCTGAACCCTAAACCCTAAACCCTAAACCCTGAACCCTGAACCCTGTGCTTATGGGGCTGTAGCCGACTAATCTGTCAGGATCTGTAGGTCCTGAGCTCGAAGCCAGAACCCTGGCCTAAAAGCTTCGAAACTCCAACGTCGGGGCGCATTTCAGGCTTGACTTGGTTTAGGGTTTAGGGTTTAGGGTTTAGGGTTTAGGGTTTAGGGTTTAGGGTTTAGGGTTTAGGGTTTAGGGTTTAGGGTTTAGGGTTTAGGGTTTAGGGTTTAGGGTTTAGGGTGTGAGGGTCGATGTTTTCTACACTCCCCAGGTCCCTCAAGCCGACCCCCCCCCCCCCCCGAGTGCCCCTCTCATCGCTGAGGCGTTGCGTTTACATCCAAGACAGTGCGGGGCTGATACTTGAAGCAGGATGCGCTATCCCCGTATAAACCCCCAGAATCAACCCAAAAGGTCTTTTTTTCAGGGGTTTTAGGGGCAGAATGGAAGCCCATAGTTGGAAACCCTCCAACCTAAACCCTAATCTGCGAAGCTTCACATAGGCGCCCTAGGAGTCGAATCTCCTCCTGGCCCCATCGAAAATCTCAGATTTAGGGGTTTTTTTGAGGGTGTAGAGTCCTTGCAGTGATACCTCAAACCTCCATCAGAGAGGCCCAAAACCCTGAAACGACCCAAGCCCAGTACCCCAGACTTTCCAAGTCAAACCCGAAGTTGCAGGTGTTCGAGCCCCCCCACTTCGCAAAGGGGCCCAGGGAAGCGCAAGCTACCCTCATCCTTCGACCCCCTCAAACCATTCAACGAACCTACAGACCCCCCCAAAGTGGGGTCTCGTGGCACTTTTAATCCAATGTGGGTTCAAACTGGCGGCAGACTCTGTGTTCTTCGGGAGGCGTAGACCGCAGAACCCTATGTATAGACCTTACAACCCCAGGCCCTGACGAGTCCACGTTGCACATTGGGGGGGGGGAGGGGGGGGAAGGGGAGGGTTGTAGGGAACCCTTAACCCTAAAACCCTAAACCCTACACCCCTACTAAACCCTAAACCCTACACCCCAAACCTAACCCCTAAACCCTAAACCCTTTAGGGCTTCGGGCTTGAGGGTTTACACGGCTACCTGAGGCCGTTCTTCAGCTGAAGGCCTGGTGTGTTGCAGAGGGCGTTTGAGGGTGCAGGTTCTCGGTGTTGAGACGGTGGTTAGGATGGGGTTATTGAAGTCCTAGAGGTTTCGAGTTTAGGGGTTTAGGGTTTAGGGTTTAGGGTTGAGGTACATTTCAGGCTTTAGAGGCCTGTGTCGGGCTTGAACACCGGGGACTGGGGGAGGGATAAGTCGTACCGGGGGTTTAGGCCCTTTGTGGCTTTTAGGGTTGTTGGGGCTTTAGGTGTTCGGAGAACAGTCTGTAGGTCTTCAGGCTCACCAGGATCGGTGTCCCTCCTTCCTCTGGCGCTAAGCTGCAGTGGTCCACTTCCTAATGTTTAGGGTTTAGGGTTTAGGGTGCTAGGGCCCACATGCAGAGAACTGACCATGTGGGAGGCGCAAACCCGGCTGCTGGTCTCGTACTGCGCCGGGGCCTCCTCAATGTGCTCTTTTAAGGGGGGGTGGGGGGGTGGGGGGGTTTGGGGGAGGGGGTCCGAAGTAGGAGTGCCCTTTTCTGAGGGTCCTTACGCCATTAGCAGAATTTCTGAGTCCTACGCAAAGTAAGTCTCGAGCCTAAAGAGTACTGTCCCTAAACCCTCAGCCCCAAACCCTAAACCCTAGCCCTAAACCCTAAACCCTAAACCCTAAACCCTAAACCCTAAACCCTAAACCCTAAACCCTAAACCCTAAACCCTAAACCCTAAACCCTAAACCCTAAACCCTAAACCCTAAACCCTAAACCCTAAACCCTAAACCCTAAACCCTAAACCCTAAACCCTAAACCCTAGCCCTAAACCCTAAACCCTAAGCCTTGCTCACATAAGGAGCCTAACATGGAGCCCCAAAAGCCCGAAGAGTCAGCCGGTGGGACCCCTGCTTTCGGGCAACTTTTCTTCTTTGACCGCTTGGAAACCCTCAAAAATCAACCCTTTGGGGTTTAGGGGTTTAGGGTTTAGGGGTTTAGGGTTTAGGGGTTAGGGTTTAGGGTGTAGGGTTTAGGGTTTCAGGTGCCAAAACCTCAAGCTCCAAAACCCAAATGGGGGCTTACGATTTTAGGGGCACCTTGTTGGGGTCCTAGTTGCAAGGGAGTCCTACTATTTGGGCGTCTACACCGGGGTCCCCTCTTTGTCCGTAAACTCCCAAATTTCCTAGACGTTAGAACTGCCTGAAGGCCAGGTATCCATGGGCAAAGGCAGTTTCTTGGCGCAACCCCCCCCCCCCCCGGGCCTTCAGATTGAGAAGTGTCCCATGCCCAGGCCATTGCCGTGTTGATGCCTGTCCGGCCTCGTTTTTGACGAGCGTCTTCGCAGTTCGTGGCTTCTTGTTGAGGGCACAAGCAGCACATGCCTTAGCAGTTTAGGTGTGTAGGATCGTGAGCCTTTTTCTCCCTTTTTACCCTACTGCAAGTCAGCAATTGAACCTTCCGCGCTAACTTGCAGTGTGGACGACAAATCCTAAACCCTAAACCCTAAACCCTTATGAACCCTAAAGGGCTTGGGGTTCAAGGTCGTGTGAGCGTGGGGGGGCCGAGTCGTTGCTGTTGTGTCCCCGAAGTGGTCAGCCGAATTCGCCACTGGCAAGTTGCCACCTTAACCTCTTTTTTTAGATCCGATTCTACTATTTACTTATAAGAGTCCCTAACAAAACTAAAATAACAAAACCCCCATATTGCCCCTATAAGGACGAAGATGTTTTGCAATTTTGGGGGGGCATCTTGAGCAGATAGTAGTGTTTTTGTTTACCCTGCAAGCCAGATGTTAGGAAAGCTCAGGGGGCCCCTCCAAGGCAGTCTTGAGGATGTTGCAGTCCTAAACCCTAAACCCTAAACCCTAAACCCTAACCCCTAAACCCTAAACCCTAAACCCTAAACCCTAAACCCTAAACCCTAAACCCTCAACCCTAAACCCTAAACCCTAAACCCCAGTCATGGGCCACCTTGCTTGACTTGTGCTCCAGGGTTTCGTCTTAAGGAACCCTGGGTTCACTTTAAGGTTCATGGTCCAGGGCTTAGGGTTTAGGATTTCTTGGGCACCTAGAAGGAATAGAGGGCTTCGGCCTCCTGTTGTTGAAAAGGGGTGTTAAGCTTAGGACCCTGACCCTAAAGCCTCAACCCTTAATTCATATGCAGCCAGGATGCTGTCTTACGACGCAGTGACGATTCACGCCAGAGCCTCCGGCTTTCGGGGGGGGGGGGGGGGGGGGGGGGGGCGCTGGCTTGTGTTAGGGTTTAGGGTTAGGGGTTTAGGGCTTAGGGCTTAGCGCTTAGGGCTTAGGGCTTAGGGCTTAGGGCTTAGGGCTTAGGCTTAGGATGCCTACTCATGAATCCCTGCACCACGTACCCCATGTCCAGGGGTTCGTAAGGGTTCAGGGGTAGGATTGGGGACACATAGACGAGAAGTGGTGGGCACCGTTCTCTCCGAGTCCAAGTCTCTCAGGGTTTAGGGTTTAGGGTTTAGGGTTTAGGGTTTAGGGTTTAGGGTTTAGGGTTTAGGGTTTAGGGTTTAGGGTTTAGGGACATCAAAGCCCTAAACTCTGAAAGCCTGGGCCTCATTGCTTGGACCTCGGATCTGCGTCTCCAGCGGACCTCCAAAAAAACCCTGAACCCCCACTACAGCAGTCTGGCTTGCTGTTCAGGAGCGCTTCCTTCGCGTGAGTTCAAGAGTCTCTCTGAGCAACCCAGGTGCTCATCGCATATCCCGCATGTTGACCTATACTGCATTGAGACCCAGGTCGCAGAGACCAGCGTGCATGCCCGGTCGTCGCGGTCCATCTACAGCTTGCTGGTTATGTGGGCCTGGCATATTTTTTTTGGGGCGATTCTGGGCTTCAGGGTGGCTGAAGCTGGGTTTTGGAGTACTTATACATACTGCATTTTTTGGTTCTGAGTCCCTATTGTAGCTACTTCTACCTAGAAAGTATATCTTTCCAGGGTCTACTCCAAAGTAGGGAAGTTTGGATGCACGCTGTGCATAGGAGGTCCCTACCAAACCCTGACCTCAACCCCAAACCCTAAACCCCAAACCCTAAACCCTAAACCCCAAACCCTAAACCAAAACCCTAAACGACCCTTGATCCAACGGATCCAGTGCGAGACTGGGGCCTCTGGCGGGGGGGGGGGGGGGGGGGTTCGTTTTAGGGTTTAGGGTTTAGGGTTTGTTAGGGTTTAGGGTTTTAGGTTTTTTAGGGGGTTTAGGGTTTAGGGTTTAGGGTTTAGGGGTTTAGGGTTTAGGGTTTAGGGTTTAGGGTTAGGGTTTAGGGTTTAGGGTTAGGGTTTTAGGGTTTAGGGTTTAGGTTTAGGGTTTTAGGGTTTAGGGTTTGGGTTTAGGGTTAGGGTTTAGGGGTTTAGGGTTTAGGGTTTAGGGTTTAGGTTTAGGGTTTAGGGTTTAGGGTTTAGGGTTTAGGGTTTAGGGTTTAGGGTTTAGGGTTTAGGGATCTTTTGCGGCGTGATGCTGCAACGCACAAAGGATGTATGGGCAGGGCAAGTGGTGTCGCCAGGCCGATGTTCCAGCTGATCATCACGCAAAACCCGCGGCTCAACTGACAAGCACCGGATTTTGACTTAACCCTCTAAACTAACCTTATTTTCCTTAAATATTCCTTATATATTCCTTATATATTCCTTATATATTCCTTATATATTCCTTATATAGATGAACCTTAGAACACTAAGTCCTCGACCCTAATGGGTTTGGGCTTTGTGAAGTCTGGGATTTGGCACGCAGGGTCCCTGAACCCCCAGTTTCCATTGTGGGGCAGGGAGGCAGATGGCACACTCCAACACCACAACCCTAAGCACCTAAAACCCTAATTCCAACCCACAATCTGTCCCGTTAAAAGGCCCTACAAACATTCAACCCCCAAAGCCCTGCAGAGCTTGAGGTTTATGCGGTTTACAGGGTCTATACGATTTCTGCTCCAGGGATAAAATATGTAGGAAACCCCAAAGTGGAACCTGTACCCTGTAGGTAGGGCTTAGGATTATGTAAAGGTAGGGCTTAGAATTTTGTAACTGGTTCAGAGTTGGCGAGCCACAATCGAAGCATAAAGTCGTCGGCTTGGCACCCCTATGATACGTCCTAAGCCCTCTCAGCTCAGAAGACGGGGATACTCTACCCCCACAAAATGGGGAACCATGGCCCAAAATGACCGTCGATAGTTGCTGGCTGTTAAGGTATGTAGGTCTTTCATTTCTGGTTCAGGGCGAATCTGCAAACCTCAGCCCGCGATGGCAAAGGTTTCTATTCAAGTCGTCCCTTGTCTTCGTGGCAGTGGCATTTGTGGCCCTCTGCTCGCTTGCCCCTCATCCACAGGGCTTGGAAACCCTAAAAGCCTTGAAGCCCCAACGACCCCAAACCCCTAGAACTAAAACCCTGAAGCCCTAAAGCCCCCAAAACCTAGAACCCTAAGATCAGCCGGAACTCCTCGATGTTTTTTGGCACTGCTTGGAACGAAGTTGGCTTTCTGTTGGGATTCAAAGGGCTTTCGTTTTCAGGGTTCAAGGCCTTTAGGGTTTAAGGGCTTAGGGTCTCCAAGCTCTCTAATATTGGAACCCCAATTTGGTTGCTTGCGTTTTGGTTTGCAGTTCGGGATAGGGCTTCACTACTAAGCCCGGCTGGTTGCTGCTCGGAGAGCTGCGTTCAGCTCCCTCTCAGCTTGGTTTGGACAGCGAACATGAAGCCTCGAAACGGCTCGCCAAGGCATCCAAAGCCAAATACACTGAAGTCAGACAGATGCACACCGCCTGTCCCCCCCCCCCCCCCACCAGCACACTTTCGAAGTCCTTGCACCCCTGGGAACTCTCGAATCCGCCATAAGTCCTTCAATCGCTAGACCCTAAGCCCATCTAACTAGATCCTAAGCCCATCTAAAGCTTAAAGCTTTAAACCTGACACGCTAAACCCTGAACCCTGAACCCTGAACCCTAAACCCTAAACCCTAAACCCCGTAAAACCCCTAAACCCCCTAAACCCCCTAAACCCCCTAAACCCTAACCCTTGCGGGGGGGGGCCCGGGGGAGGTGCTCATGTTCCTGGAGAGCTCGAATCGGCTCTTTCAGCCTGGGCCATGGCATTCAGGGGTTCAGGGTTTAGGGTTTAGGGTTTAGGGTTTAGGGGTCAGGGTTCAGGGTATAGCGTTTCAGGTTTAGGGTTGAGAATTCATGGGTTGCTTGGCTTTGAGGTTGCGAAGGTAGGGCTGTTTTAGATGTTTGGGTTTACAGGGGCTGCAAAAAGAGGTTTGCTCAAACTCAAGCAAACCTTGAACCATCAAACCTCTAAGCCAGAAACTCCGATGAAAGAATAGAAGTCGAGGCAACACCCCGCGGCGTTTGCACATCCATTTTCCATGCCCGAACCCTTAACCTTGACTCGTATGGGCTTGATCTTGATTCTGGACCCTTCCGCGTGTCTTTCCAGTGCCGAGAGGGCTCCCTCCACACAATCTGAACCAAAGCCTAAAGCTCGAGGAACTTGTTCATGACGCAGCAAAGCCGGGTCGTCTTCATCGGTGCTAGCGTGGTGAATGCGTGCTCCAAGGGGACTCTTCGGGAAGACTGACCCAAACGTCGTTCTTTGGGATGTACTGTAAATCCTAGGTAGGATAAGGGGACCCAAGGGAACCCCTTCTTAACCCTCTTCTGGCTCTCTTCAACAGGGACCTCAGGGTCTCCCTAATCCTCTCCCCTAATAGATTTGTGTTTGGCTTGTAGGCTTAGGGTTTTTTCGAATTTGTATTGCACGCGGCCTCCACGTCAGCAATGTAGGAAGTGCCGAAAGGTCGGGGCTAAACCCGCAACCCGAAACCCTGAGCTTCTTTGCTGCGGTTTAGGGCTTAGGGTTTAGGCCTTAGGCGTCAGGCCTTAGGCCTCAGGGCTTGGGGCTTGGGGCTTGGGGTTTAGGGTTTAGGGTTTAGGGTTTAGGGTTTAGGGTTTAGGGTGTTTCCGAACACGCGGCAGGTACGTCGCGCACAGCGCCGAGGTTAGCATCAGACAGCGGTTCAAGGCCAGGAGTTGGACTGTGAGTCTCTGCGGGTTTAACTTATAGGGTTTAGGGTTAGGGTTTAGGGTGTAGGGTTAGGGTTAGGGTTTAGGGTTTAGGGTTTAGGGTTTAGGGTTTAGGGTTTAAGGGGGGCATATAACCCAAGGTTCCCTGATACTCCCTACTACTCCCCTAAGGCTCCCGAAGCTTCGCAACAGTTCCCCTAGGTACCTACCCCCCATGAACCTCCCCCCTCCCTCAAGAACTCTATACTAATGTGGTAACCCTTGACCCTATTTTTTCGAGACCGGGACGCTGTGGGAGTGCACTTTTTTCCATTTATTGAAAGACATTTTAAAAACACTCTCGCAACGTACCCGTATTGTATATAAACAAAATCACGAGACATGCATAACATGCAAGTACGCCAACACAAAGCAGCGATACAGTGTATGTCCTGACCTGAGTTACTGTCCCCGTTTTCTAAATAAATGGGCCAACTTCATTAGAAACAACAATAGGAATCCTCGATTTAAATCCATAGGAACCCTATTTTAAATTAATCGGCGCCGTAAAGTCAATAGGAAGCCTCTGAATATGAATTGGAGGCCCCTCAAAATTAAGGAGAATCCTCGTAGAATTAATAAGAACCCTGTTAAACTGAAGAGGAACCCTACTACAATTAACACGAACCAATCGGACCCCTATAAAAAATGTGAACCCCTAGAAAAATAATAAGAATCCTACGAAAATGAACATGAGCCTAAATCGATAGGAATCCCTTTAAAGTGAATGAGATCCTTATTAATATTAACGAATCCCATTAGCATGAATAAGAATCTGACAACAAAAGGATAGGAATCTTATTACATGAGTAGGGGCCTTTGTAAAGTAATTAGGAACCCTATGAAACTTTATTGGAATCCTATGAAAATAAATAGGAATCCTCTATTAAATTATTGGAACCGGAAAACAGGTAATAGGAAGGAAGCCTATTAAAATGAATAGGAACCCTTGACAAATCAAAAAGAACCGGGTTATAATTCACAGGAATCCTATTAGGACGAGAATGAATCTTACTAAAATGAATAGGAACCAATAGGCCTGAAAAAACAATAGGATCCTTTAACAAGAACTATACCTTTGCGAATCCCAGTAACATGAATAAGACCGCTGTTAAAATTGATAGGAACCGTATTAAATTGGTAGGAGCCTTAGGGCGTGATGTCTTAAAATATGTTGCTAAGGTACAGTGCTTAGTATAGATATTAGGTTTTGCTTATTGGGGGATGATTGCTTGAAATATCCTAGCTAAGGTATAGTTTTCAGGATAGACGTCATGTCTTGCGTATTGGGCCGTGATTGACTATATGGAAGTTTTGGTACTCTCGAGATTTTGCTGGATTCGATTTTTTTTGGTAATGCGGTGTGCTTGATTGTCCATGTTAGCGCGTTTGTCACGTACAAAAGGGCACTCAGAAATAAACAACACACACACACAACACAAATAACAGAAACAACTGTACAAACAAAAAACGTACAAAAAGGAAATAACACCAAAGAACCTAAAGAAGGCCCAAAAAACACCCTTCAGAAGATACCGAAAAACCGTACAAAAGGAAATGATACAGAAACATCTCCAATAATACACAAAAATCCTCCAAAAACCAAAAAACCAAAAAAACCAAAAAAAACAAAAAAAAGCAAAAAAAACAATCCTGAGAGACTCTTCCCGGGGGTCCGGCTCCCCAAAAGAGTCCCTCAGGATTGGTTTTTTTGGTTTTTTTGGTTTTTTGGTTTTCTTACACAAGAACCCCCAAAAAACCAAAAACAACAAACAAAAAACAATCCCGAGAGACTCTTCCCAGGGGTCCGGCTCCCCAACAGAGTCCCTCAGGATTGTTTTCTTTTTTTCTTGGTTCTTTTGTTTTTGGTTTTTGTGGGGATTTGTTGTGTGTGTTTTTTGTTTTTTTCACGCGTTTCGTGTGTTTTTAGGTTGTTTTTAGGATTTGCATGTGTTTTTTGCGGGAAAAGTGCACTCCCACAGCGTCCCATTTTCATTTTTTTTTGGTCATGGGTTACTTTGTAGAGTCACCATACCAAAAAAAGGGGTGCCCGTTTTTTAACTATGGTTACTGGGTCATCAAGTTACCCTAAACCCTAAACCTTGGCCCCAACCTTGCACCCCAAGCCCAAAACCCTCACAAATCACGGTCGGGTTCACTAGGTTGGGGAAGGTTCTGGGCTTCAAGGATTCAAAGGTTTCGGGTTTGGTGTCTGAGTTCTGCCACGGACCCTATAATCCCTAAACCCAATTATCGTCCCTATAAACCCCAAACCCTAAACAAGCCCCAAAAGCATGAGAAACCAGCCGCATGCCCAGCCAAGTCTGAGTTCACCGACGTAGAATCATCCCGAGGCCCACCGTTCTGAGCGTTTAGGGTTTAGGGTTTAGGCTTCTGAGCGTTTAGGGTTTAGGGTTTAGGGTTTAGGGTTTAGGGTTTAGGGTTTAGGGTTTAGGCTTCTGAGGGTTTGGGGTTTAGGGCTTGCTGTGGTGTTCGGAGAAACTCTCTTCGCAGCTTCTGACCCCAAGCAAAGAGGCCAAGAGAGCTGTGGAGCTCACTCACGAGAGGACTGAGTCCATCTTGCCCCCTGGCATGCCACTTCTCGGGCGGTTGAGGGTTTAGGGTTTAGGGTTTTGGGTTTTGGTTTTGGGTTTTGGGTTTAGGGTTCAGGGTTTAAGGGCTTAGAGGTGCAGCTCCCTGTAGGGATGGCTCTCCCCCCCCCCCCCTTGATTTTTTCAGTGGGATTCATGCTGCAAGCTCAGATGCTGATGTTAAGGTAGCAAGGACGCGGACTTCTGTTTCTTCTTGAACGTAGTTGCGGCAATCTGAACCCCTTCCTTCCAACCCTGAACCCTAGAAGCCTTAGATTTTCCCTGGGGCGGGTATGTTGATGTTCACCTTTCTGGTGTAGCACCTCGGAACCCACAACGAGATTTAGGGTTTAGGGTTTAGGGTTTAGGGTTTAGGGTTTAGGGTTTAGGGTTTGGGGACCATACCTCCAGTAAGATGGGAAGCCACCCGTCAAAACCTTCGGACCCTGAACCGTGCAACGCTTCCTGCCTATGCGTTGAACATCAACCCCCGCAACTGGACCTTTTAAACTTAACCATCAGGGTTCAGAGTTTAGGGTTTAGGCTTTGGGGATAAACCGTCTTTTGGCAGTGATCCCACACTCCGAACTTATACCACCTGCAACTGCAACAAGGAACACCTTGATGCCCATCATGGTCGTTGAGGCAAGGGTTTAGGGTTTAGGGTTTAGGGTTTAGGGTTTAGGGTTTAGGGTTTAGGGTTTAGGGTTTAGGGTTTAGGGTTTAGGGTTTAGGGTTTAGGGTTTAGGGTTTAGGGTTCCCGTGGGGGCATAGGGCCGCCCGACGATTTTTTCCGCCGAAGGGCGCCCTGCCTTTTCAAAGAGCGGGATAGCAAGCTCGAAAGCAATGTGCGCCCCGCAAGTGCATGGGATCATGTAGGAGACCTACTTCCTAGGTGGGACTTCGCTACAACTTTATCACTTTATAAGTTTAGGGTTCCTCTAATTTCATATTAAGGGAGCTAAACGTTAAACTTTTATTTGGGGGGTTAAACAGCAACCAAGCTTCCTTAATGTAAAAAGCCTTTGAACAGTCGTGGGGGATATTGGAAATCCGTTTTTCCTGCAGTCTCTACCCAAGAAAACGAGTCAGTTAGATCAGCCCGGCACTGTAAAAGAGACCCCCTGAAACCCCAAAGATCCAGACGCGGCTGAAAACAGGGGACCGGTCCTGCGAAGGGATTTTTTTATGTTGGTCTCCATGAGCACCAGGCCTAAACCCTGATTTTCGGTCTTCGGCTTCCCTCTCCTTGGCTTTGGAAGGTACAGCAGCCCTAAAAGCCCTTCAAAAATTGAATCTGGAGACTGAAACTCCCGAAAGTTCCCGGGGCGCTGCCAGGACCTGCGCGACGCAGGTTTCAACCAGGCAGGGTGCCTGGGATGCTCGGATGATGAGAAGAGGGGGGTTTTGGGGTGGGGGAGGGAGTCTGTTTCGGAGACCTTGTGCGTGGCTGAGCTTGGTCCTAGCAGTGCTTCTGACTGAAAGCCAGCACATCAACCAGAGTTAAGCATGTCAGAAGCCCTAACTAAAGAAGCCTCGCGCTGTGATTCGGCGTGTTATACCCAGAACCCTAAACCCTGAACCCTAAACCCTAAACTCTAAACCCTAAACCCTAAACCCTAAACCAGCAATCCAGCAATCCAGCAATCCAGCCAGGGCTTCCCGTCACACCTGTACCGGAAAGCCACCATCGCCCAGTCTGCCAGGGCCCAAGATCAGAAATTGACCCTCCACCCCAGCACTGCAACCCTAACCCCTAAACCCTAAACCTGTAGCAAAACCCTGGAGCCCTATACCCTGGAGACCTAAACCCTTTACCCCAAACTCTGTGGCATTTGGAGCCCTAAACCCTCCGGGTGAGAAATGCAGAGCAGCCGAGGCTCTGAAAGAGTTTTAACTGGAACCTGGATTCTGAAAGAGCAGAGCCGCCGTGAGGTTTAGGGTTTAGGGTTTACATAATGTAATCAACCTCAACACCCCACAGACCCCATCAAACCCATCAAACCCCGGTCAAACCGTCCAAAACCCCATCAAAACCCAGTCAAACCCCAATCAAACCCTTTAAACCCCATAAGACTTTATGAAGCCCTATAAACCGTAAACCCCAAACCCGATAGAGCCCTTTCTTAAGCAGGACCTCTGCGGTTTCACGAAGTTGGCGAGCACGCGCAACCCCGAGGAGGCCCGAAGTCCGTGGTGGGTTTTTCTAGGTTTTAGGGTTTAGGGTTTTGGATTTACATAGGGTTTGGGGTTTAGGGTTTAGGGTTAAGGCTTTGTTTATTATATTATTTTTCGGGAGGCGGGGGAGGTTTAGGGTTTCGGGGTTTAGTTTGGCTTGAGAGTTCAGGGTAAAGGGGAGAAGCAACTGGCGGGTCCATAGTCATTTAGGGTTGTTTCTGCGTGATGGCTTAGTAGCTGAGTGAGCACACTCTACACTTTTTGGGATACTATAATCTCTACAAAGCCAAAAGTGTACACTTTTTTGGGGCCTTATGAACTCAGCAACTAAGATGGTGTTTGCAGGAATATAAGACTTTATTCTACTCTGTAACGCGGACTATGCTCTGTCACATGGCCAGGGGCCCTAACGCCGACTCGTTCAGGGTTTGGGGCTCTGGGGGGCCGTGCGGCGGTAAGGTTCCGAATTCAGGGAGGCATCGAGGGTGCTCAGGGCTTAGGTTTCAGTGGCACCAGGATTTTACATCCTCAAACCTACAACCTAAACCCTAAACCATGAGCACTGAAGCCCCGTAGGCCCGAACACACAGGCTTTAGTGTTTAGGGTGTATGGGGGTTGTAGGGTTTAGGGATGTTTGAGGTTTATAGGGTTTGGGGTTTTGGGACGCTTTGTGGGCAAGGTCGTCAGCTTCATCGGCGAGCTGTTTGGGTGCCGCGCGGTTGTGTCCATCACCTGCCTGGGCTGCCCCCTAAACCCTAAACCCCAAACCCTAAACCCTAAACCCCAAACCCTAAACCCTAGACCCTAAACCCTAAACCCTGTACCTTGTAAACCCTGAACCCGAATTAACCTCTCCGGGTCCATGTCATGTCAGGCCTTTCTCCTGGCTGCAGGATGTTGTATAACACGGGGAATAGGGATGGGTTTAAGGCAGAGGAGTTGTGGGAATGATGCAACTAGCCTGTGGAGCACCACGCCCTCTGAACCATCATGCAGCTTCTTCCAACATTCTCCGCCTGTCTTGTGTAGGGTTTCCTGTGGCCAGAAGCTCTTAGGGGTGAACTTGGTACCTCCACAACGAGATCGGGACCTTGACGTGGGCGGGTTGGGGGTTTTTGGGCCTTGGGATCTCTGCTACTTCTACAGCCATTTATCTGTGGCGATGTCCAACTAAACGGACCAGAAGTTCTGGGTCCTGGTCGGGTAGGGTTTGGGACATTTTGATTTGAGCTGAAAGGTGGGTGAAGACCATAAACCTTTAGCCATCAGCCCCGAAACCCTAATCTTTTGAGTTAGGATGTAAAGCTCCCAACCCAGACCCCTAACTTTGCATCGGGTGCCCTAAACCCTAAACCCAAAGCCCTAAGGCTTTATAGTGCTTTCGGGGCTTTAGGGTTTAGGGTTTAGGGTTAGCCCAAAGGTTTCGGGGACATTGGGGTCGAAGCCTTCAAGAGTTTAGGGTTTAGGGTTTAGGGCTTTCCCCGCTCACTTTGAACCCCAAATCTGCGGCAGACTCTTCGATGAGCTGACGGACAAGTACGAGGTGTACAAGGCGTGTTTAGGGCTTCAGGGCTTTACGGCCTTAGGGTTTAGGGTGTTACGGCTGTACGGTTGTGGGGGTTCTGGGATTTTTGGGCTTTACGGTTTCGGGTTTGACGAGGGCCACGGAAACTATTTTTTTCCACACCCCAGGCCCCTGAAAACTTAGCTTAGAGCCTCCTGAGCACACAACACGAACACGTGTGTGTTCCGGCCCTTAGCGCTAGAACCCCCAAAAACTCCCCAACGCTGTGGGCGCTGAGAACAGAGGTCGAAACAGTCGGCGACGCATACATCGCCGGACAGGACGCCTTTGGGAGGGTGTTTTTTTTTGTGGCTTTCCGGGTCGTTGTTCAGATTTAGGCTTTAGGCACTTTTTTGTTAAGGAAGGTGGTTTTTTTTTTGGCAGGGTCCTTATTTAGATTTAGGCTTTGGGGCCTTTTTTTGTCGGGGGCCTTGTGGGGCTTTCGGGTTTTAGGGTTTCGGGTTTTGCGGTCTTTTGGGCCGAGAGTGTCTTCCCATTGTAGGTTCAAATCACTGGGCTCCATGCAGGTAACCCCTAAGCCCTAAGCCCTAAGCCCTAAGCCCTAAGCCCTAAACCCTAAACCCTAAACCCTAACCTCCAGGCAGAAGTGCCGCTGACCTTCAAGAACTCGCCCATGAATGTGGTGCCTTTGCTGACTTTAATATAATAAAAGGGTGACAGCGCAGTCAGAGGGGTTGAGGGTTTGAAGGGTCGAAATGGGCAACTTCTTCGAATGCGAAAGCCGCCGCAATCCCCCATGCTGGCGACTCACAGGTCCAAGCCCTGAATCACGACACCCAAAACCCCCCAAGAAACCCAACCCTATGTAAGCCCTAAACCCGGGATCCCCCGAAAAGCACAGGCTAACGTGGGACTCGGGTTTTCTCCAACCCTGAGACCCGAACATGTATTTCTCCACCGTGCGGGAAACTCCACCGCCGCCGCCAAGGTGCGATTCGGACTCGACATGGCTGCAGCCCCAGATTGCACGACCTGTTAGACGGTGTACACCGGGACAAGACCAAGTCTAGGCTCCCAGAAGCCCTCCGAGCCCTTAGGGTTCAGGGTTTGGGGTTTGGGGTTTAGGGTTTAGGGTTTATGGTACCTTGTAAGCCCCCATGTTGTCCTTAAGTTGCTTCGGGATTGGCTGGTGTACGGCGCCGTGAGACTTGGAGCCTTAACTCTTTGAGACCCCTTAAACTTACTTAAACCTCCGTAAGCCGCCTTGAACCCCCAACCCCCCCCCCCCCGCCAAACCTAATCCTATGCCCTGCAAGCCTCCCTAATCTGCCCATCCCCCCCACAGCGAGGGCAACGGAGATTCAAGGATCGTATAGTAAGCTTCGGGATGGTACAAGAGTTTCTAAGTGTCAGGTGCACTTCATAGGGAACATGGGGTTTCTATGGTTTGGGGTTCTGATGCATGCTCAGGTGGTTGAGACACACAAGTGGTCCCGGCGAAAGAACGAGCAAGTGAGGCGCCCCCGACCCATATGCTGTCTCTGGCTCTCTGTCTCTCTGTCTCCGTTCCTGCAGAAGGGACTAAACTTTATCCTTAAAGCCAATCACTGCCAAATTCTTCAACCCAGACCACTTACTGCCAAGAAGTTTTGGTTTGAGTAGGAAACCCAAGGTGGGACAGGGCCCAAGCCTGAACAAGAGTCGTATCTCTCCTGGCTTGGCGTCTGCGTGCGAGGTGATCAAGCTGAAGCATCCTAAGCCTTGTCATGCCTTACCATCTGAGAGTAGAGGAAGGAATGTGGAAGCCGACTTTAGCAAATTTAGGCATGTAGGGTGCTGTTGTGGTTGGGTTGTTGCAGTGGGGGAGGGGTCCGTGCGCTCTGTCGCTTCTCGGACACGCTTGGGGTTCAGCTTTAAGGGGTTTAGGGTCAACCGCTGCTGTAGGCTGAGACCAGCATCCTGGGCCTTTCAATCCTAGACCCAAAACGGTTTAGGGTTTAGGGTTTAGGGTTTAGGGTTTAGGGTTTAGGGTTTAGGGTTTAGGGTTTAGGGTTTAGGGTTTAGGGTTTAGGGTTCCGGCTCATCCCCGAACCCCTCTCAAAGATAAGTCCTAGTCTAGCAACTTAACTGAGTTCCTTGGCAAGAACCCAGCAAAGCAGGCAGCATGACAGAAAGGTAGCTCTAAACTCACCTTCTGGCCCTGCGCCCTAGCTTCGATCTCCTACCCTAAACCCTAAACCCTAAACCCTAAACCCTAAACCCTAAACCCTAAACCTCGCAGCTGCCGGGTCGGTGTCCACAGCGGCGAGTGCATCGGCGGCATCGTGGGCACAGAGATGCAAAGGTCTGTGCCCCAAAGATCTCCCGGACACCTTCTTCGACTTGAGGATGTTTAGGGTTTAGGGTTTAGGGTTTAGGATTTAGGGTTTAGGGTTTAGGGTTTAGGGTTTAGGGTTTAGGGTTTAGGGTTCAGGTTGGGACTTTGTGTTGTTTCGGGCTCAGGGTCCAGGGTGTAGGAGTTCCAGGACGTAGAGCGCTCCGGGTAGCGGTTTAGGGTTTAGGGTTTATGGTCTAGGGGGTTTAGGTTTAAGGCATCCAAGGGCTTGGGGTCTTCAACCCCAAGCCATGCCACATTTAAACCACAGACGCGTTGCAAATGCCAAACAAGGGTTTAGGGATGTTTAGGGTTTAGGGTTTCGGGTTTAGGGTCAATAGCCGTGACGAGGGTCAACCCCTAAGCCCTACAATCGCGACGGACCTGGTCATGGTATGTCCAGGGCAGGTTCAGTCCGGATTTCCCCACGCTCTGTTGGCTTCAGGATCTAAGGTCTTTCGGGTAAGGGCTTAGGCTTAAGGACCGCAACTAGACCCTGACCCCCCCCCCCTCCGCCACCGCCCCACCCAGCCCAAAACTTCGTCCTCGATGCATGTCAGAAGGAGCGGGTCCCTTAAAAGCCTTAAAATCCGAAACCCTGAAGCCTAACCCTAAACCCTAAAAACCCTCATCAGAAGAAACCCTAAACCCCAAACCCTAAACCCCAAAAACCCTTCATCAGAAATCCCGAGGCTCACATCTGCCTCGAGTCTCTCTCCTTCCCGAAGCCGAATGCCCCAAGGCTGTAAAAAACCCTGACACCTCTCATTTTCTGCACAAAAACCCTAAACCCTAAACCCTAAACCCTAATCTAAACCCTAAACCCTAAACCCTCAACGGCTTTCCTGAGATACCATCTCTTCGGAAAGCTGATGACCGAGGTCGAGGCCAACCCAGGTCTCTTCTGGGTTTGGGAATTAGGGTTTAGAGGGCTTAGGGGCCAGAAAGGGATAGAGGGTTTAGGGTTTAGGGCTAGGGTTTAGGGTTTCGGGTTTCAGGATTCAGTATTCAAGGTTTTTCCGGGTTTGGGGTGACTACCATCCTTGGTGATATAGAAGCAGCTACTGTTCCTTACGTCTTCCTCTCTGGGCTAGCCTGCTGCGGCATCGGGGCTTTGCAGATGAAAGCTGGCTGTTTAGGGTGTTAGGGTGTTAGGGTGTTGGGGCTTAGGGTTTAGGGTTTAGGGTTTAGGGTTTAGGGTTTAGGGTTTAGGGCTTAGGGTTTAGGGTTTGATGCTCCAATCGCGGCGCCACTGAACTCAAGGTTTACGGTTCAGGGTTTAGGGTGTTTGGGGAAACTCTCGGGCATTCGCGTTTTGCGTCGCCTTGGCGAAGGGTTTGGGGTTTTGGGGGGTCCCTAAACCGTTCCTGAACCCGAAGCCCCAAACCCTGTGCCATAAACTTGAAACAACTTTCTCGGAAAACCTGCCGCAGGTTCTGGAATCCACGGCGCCTGAGGGCAAAGTGCAAGTCTCCCAGGCTGTCCGATGGAGGGTGGGGGGGGGGGGAAGGTGAGGATTTGGAGCTTTTGGGGGGGTTTCAGCAGATGAGGGCTCTTCTTCCCCAAGCCAGTTGGTGGTCGACGGTCCAAACCTCCTGGAGGAGAACCCTGTTTCACCCTGATGGGCGTATGGCCCTCTGCCACAAAGTCTGAGCTGCGTTTTTTTTAGGCGCTCGAGCATAGGTACTTTGCAGCGGACATTATTATTGTCCGCAGAAGGGGTGAAGAGGTGAACAAGATTCCGCGGAAGGTCGCGGAAGGGTCCGCGGAAGGCGTGGTGTCCGCGGAAGGCTCGCGGAAGGGCGGTGT